TGTTGTTGTTGTTGTTGTTGTTGTTGTTGTTGTTGTTGTTGTTGTTGTTGTTGTCGTCGTTTGTGCTTTCGTAGTGTTGTTGCTTTCGTTTGTTTGCACTGTTCTTTCTGATCGTTCTCATTTTATCAATGTGTCCTGTCTTCCCAACATTTCTAGTGTTCCGATATCTTCTTGCAGTCCGTACACGAGGTGACCGATTCATTTCCACGAAATAGGTCGGTCTCACGGTATGATCAGCTGCTTTGTAAAACCGTCTTTCATAGGAGAAAACGCTTTCTTGAAAGCGTGTTCGAATATTTTCACCATTCCTCCCTCTCAAATGTGGATTTACTTCCAGAAACCTTTGTTTTCTTGTAGGCCTTTCTGTAACATACTCGGAGCCACCATAGTTGGGCAACGAGAGATGGTTTGGTTGTTTGTTTACAATATCTTTTTCATAGCCAATAGGAATCGCTCCCGATTGTGCCAGCTCTTTCAAAATCAGACTCGCTTGGTCAATTTGTTTATAAATTGTGACAAGAACATGTAGCGTCAATAGAACGAGAATAGTCAATCCAAAACGAAACAAAAATACTTTTGTTGGAACAATAACTTTTTCCTTCATTTCTTGTTTGATTTAATTAAGTTTTTCTTATTAGTTTCTTGTCGATCCAAACCGATAATGGTTGTATGAGATATGAAGATGTATAAAATTATGCACCTCAATTCTTCTCTTGTTAAAGGAACATACGCACTTTATTAAAAATAGTTTTATCTAGTAACCCGTTAAAACTGTAAAATATGATAAGATGAACCTTTCACTCAATTGGAAATCATAAATAATTTTGTCTCAAGAGAACGTCCAATCGACAAATAGAGTACATTGGAAGATTAATTAGATCTCTAGCTGTGTGCAACTAATCTCCTTTGCGTCTGTGTCAACTTGGCTTTATCAAAATTGTTTGGTTAATAACTCGTCTCCCGATAAAATTACGAATAATCTTCGATTCAACAAGAATATTAAATCTTCTTCTGCAGTGTCCTATTCTGCTTCAAAAAATTGATGATTTTCAATGCCGTTAACAAATCCACAATCCATAAAATTCTTTCGCAGTCCAAAAGAATCCTAAATCCCTTTGCGTCGGCAAAAACTCAGTCAGTCCAGAGATTTTAACCATTCAAGGTAAAGTGTAAAAGTTTCCAAATATCTTTGAAAGTTTAAATTTCAAGCAATATTTCACGAAAATATCTCTACTTTTAGCCAGTTTCACAAAGATTGAAGTTTAGTTATCAACAATTTCCGTGTATTTCTACAGATATTATTTAACGCGAAAACATATTCATTATGCAACGGTGCCAGTTCCATATATTTCAGTCTTCAATTTCAACTGAATGTATCTTGAATATCTTCCACGATAAGCCTCGGTCAACTCTTATAATTGAATATTATTTTGATACTTTTAGTGTAATGTTCCAAAACCTTGCTGCAAGGACTGTCGCTTGAGTTTTTCACTGTTGGAAAGAATAGCTTGCAGATTTACCAACGGTGTTGCACTGCGGTAGCAATTAACACTTCCAAACACAACAGCGCCAACGGTGCCATCAGCCTAAAGCAAAGAAACACGCATGGCGACTCCTCGTTTGGTTCATTGCGAACAGGTTGATGTAGCTGCTTTCGAATTTCTTGCCCCCGAACTGAAGAAAACAAAAGCAAACTTCGTTTGAGGAACAAAGTGTTTTCACCGGCAGTTAGACCAGTTATATATACTGAATTTCGACGTGAAATTCAATCAAATGTCAATTCCAATGATATTTACAATTTATGTTATCAAACCTGACAAACAGAACCGTCCACGGCGAATATTGTCTATCCTTGCTTGACCTAATACCTGCTGTTAGCTCGTTTGTGTATTCATAAATATAACTGACAACCAAAGTGCCATAAATTTCTAGTCTGCTACCTCTGGTTGCTCAAGCACACAATAATTCTCGGGCAAGAAGAAGAAAAATCGATAAAGTCTTTATTATATCATAGTTTCTGGCTGCAATTATTGTCACCAGTAAAATAAACAGGTCAATATATTGTCTCTTGGCACTTTTGGCCGTAAAAAAATCAGTACCAGATTACATTTCCCCCAAATCCAAGCCGCCATTTTTTTTGGACTAAATCCCCGTTTATTTTAAAATTAGAATATCTCTGAATAGGTGTTTTGCCGATGTTTGGCATGGAATTTAAAACACAAAGTTATCCTGCTTTCAATAGCTTTCTTTAAAAATTACTTCACGAGGTAAAAGGGGTTTAAAGTCCATAACTACCTGTCATTTTCTATCACATACAAAGTTAATTAGCGCCTAGCAAAGCGCAGTGAATATTATATAACCAGGCCAGCAACCGTGGGGTTCTAGAATTACCAACGGCAACGGTACAAACCGAACGACGTAGCGACTGGGCCGGGTGTGTGTGTGTGTAGGGGGTGTAGAGCTGCTGTGAAACTCGGGGAAAAATCAGGTAAATTTTGAAATTTGTAAAATAAAATATCAATGACTGAAATATCTGTCGGGCACGACTTCCTTTAGGGGCGCTGTTTATATGGTCTCAGGTACAAGGACCCTACCCCCCGAGACAACTTTACCGTGCGTTTATATGATAAATTTCAAAAAGGCATAAGGCGGGGGGGGGGGGGAGGAATACTCGAAATACTTCGTTTTTTGTTCGTTCATGTTGTTTTTAATAAAAAGTTTCGATTGAGCATGCATAGGTCTAAGACGTTGCCCCTGGAGCCCGAAGCAAATCGACGCAATCCGTTTACATGGGCAAAAGTTGTCCCTCCTACTAGGGTAACCCTGTTTTGTAAACAGGATGTCCCTACTGTCAGGGCGACCCTACCAGCCGAGACGAGTTGAAAACTTTTCATATAAACGCTTGCGTTTAAATGTTATATAATGAATATAATTTTGCCTCTCCCAGCGTAGCTCGTGGGGTAGGGTGTCCTTAGTACCCGAGACCATGGAAACAGCACCTTGGTCGCGCAAACCAAACTCACCCCCCCCCCCTTCAGTCGTAATATCCAAGTTACGACGATGGGGGGGGGGCGAATAGGCGTATACAAATCCGCCGATCCGCCCGAATTTGAAGCAAAATCCGCGATCCGACAATGGTCTTGTCTACTATGAAGTCACAATCCGGGATCCGAACTAAATTGCAAGCTAAAACCACAATCCGAGCCAAAATATGAGATAAATCCGCAATCCGCTGTATTAATAAGATATATATTCGCCAGATCCGAAATCCGACCCATTTTTTTGTGAAATCCGACGATCCGAAAACCTATTCACAAGAAGATGTTGGCAAGCAGACCATACTCTGAGCAGATGTACGCAGGCGTACCTATTTTAATCGTTCCGCCCTGAATAAATTACCGTAATTATGCAGCAAGCAAAAATAGTCAATATCGTCAATCCTGTATGTTCTTCTGTTGACAAAATCACAGTTTACAGACAATTAAATAAAAATATCTTGACAAACGAAAGGCAGAAATATCGCTCTCTTAAGATCAAGCTGCTTCCAATATTTTCTTGAAAATTAGCTGTAAAAGAAGTATGGTATATTGCAGATGCTCTGTTGCAGATGTAAATAATGAATGCAAATTCTCGGAAATGAGATGCGTTTCCTTGGAAAAACCGACAAGACATCTTCCGGTTTCTGTTTGAATCGTTGCAATTATACTTTAATAAAATATGAATGTATTTTATGGGAGGAGACATGCTTGCTTTGTTCTGATTTTACTTTATTATAAAATTTGATGATGCTGTTTGCAAAAGCACGGAAATGCTTCAAAGTCTTTGCTGGTCTGATATTTGCTCTTTCAAATTGGCAATTAATAGTCGCGAGCGAAGGTATGTCCTTTAATACACAATTATTTATTTTACGAGTTACGCTCTCGGCCTCTCACTGCATGCTGAAATGATAGTGCGTACATTTCAATAGACTTCAAGTGAGTGGTGTAGAAATTTGCTTGTGATGGGCTGAGTTTTTGGATTGAATCCATTCAAAACACTTTATATGGTATAGTACTGTAATAGCGACTGGGATCAAATGATCATTGACTTCCTGATCGACTACATAACAACTTGCAAATAATTAACAATTATTCGCCGAAGGCGAGGTGATTATCGGTGAATAAAAACCGAGACGAAGTCGAGGTTTTTATTCACGATAATCACCGAGCCTGAGGTGAATAATTGTTTTAGTATAATTTCATAGGTGATTATTTGGAAAAAAATAAGAAAATACACATTTCTTCGTCATTTAATTGACAAAAAGGCTTCGGCCGCCATTTTGAAAATCGCTTAGGTGATTATCGCGTAATAATCACCTCAACGGCAACCAATCAGCGTGGAGAATTTTCAATAATCACCTATGTAATTATACTAATATTATTTAACCCATTTAGCTGCAATGCTCCCCAATTAATAATGCATCCTACTTTATTATTTTACAATTTACACAATGGGTATTAAGATATTTTTGTTCAATAACTTTTCACTCTGAAAAAACTATATTTGACCCATTAAGTTGCATTGCATCCTAATATTCCCTACTTTATTATTTTACTTTGGCTATAATGCCAGATTAAAGGACAGAGTGCGGGTACAATGGGTTAAACCGTATTGTCAATATAGTTCCGGTCGACGTAGGTATATGACATTGCATGGGCTTTTCTAAGTTTAACCCATTCAGTTACAGTGTGCCCCAATGTGCCCTATTACTTTACTCTGTCGTACAGTTTTACTCATCAAGGGGAGCAGCCGTTCCGCACGTTGTAACCAATAACCTATTGGCGTTGTAATGCCATTGTATGCAATAAAGTATTTGGTTGTAATGGGTCTACGATTAATCCAAACGTTAATTCTAATCCAAACCCTAATCCTACCCCTAACCCCCACTCCCTAACCCCACACCCTAACCCTAAAGCCGGTGGCCCGCTACTCCTCTGGGAAAAGTCAGACATGTATCCATTCAGTAGTTAGGCCGGATTTAGGGGCCGATTACATGGAGCATTTTCAACCCCGAGGTTGAACTCAGCCCTGTTAACCGGGTTGAAATTTTTGCGATTACATGGACGATTTCAACCCCCGGGGTTGAAACGTTATACTATATGTTCTTGGCATTGATTTGCGGAAGTAAAAAAGCCTTTATTTTGTTTTCTTGTAATAAATACCCACTACCACACATGCTGGAGTAACTCATGATAATTTCAGCCCTGGGTGGAAACGATTACATGACAATAGTCTAGTCTAAGGTGAAGCAGGGTTGTAATGTTTGTCATGTAATCGCGCATTTAATTTTGATAGAATTTTGTACCGGGACGCCGGAACGATCATAAGGCAAAGTGGGGCGGACGCACACCAAGGGCACCTCTATAGAGCAAAACTTCAAAATTTCAATTTTGAGTGACCTCCCCCCCCCCAAAAAAAATAAATTTTTCCGGACATACCATAAGTCAAATATCAACTATAAATTGCCTGAATCTCAGGATTTTCCTACAAAAACCATCGTTGGAAATGTGATTTATCACATTGTATTTTACAACTAAAAGGGCACTTCTGCCCCCCCCTCCCCCCTAGCAAAAGGCAAGGGGGCAGTCGCCGCCTCTGCCCCCCCAGTTCCAGCGTCCCTGGTTTTGTATTACAGACAGGGCTGAAATTTCAACCCGGCCGGTAAACTGAGGGCTTAGTTCAACCCCGGGGTTGAAAATGCTCCATGTAATTAGCCCCTTAGTGTAATTAATAAAACTAGTCTCCTTCTATACATGATATGCTGTTTAATATATGTTGCCAAATTAGATTCAAAAGCAGAATGAGATACTAATGGTATCATATATAGCATAAATATTAGAAACTAGTCATATATATAATTAGCAGTGGATGATAAATACCAATTATTGAACTTTTTTAGAGCTGCCTCGGCCAATTGAAAGACATTTATTTTCATGATGCCCCCACCTTTGAATGGTGAACTTTTTTGTATTGTTTTATATTTAACATTACAATTAAATTTTAGTTATAGGAATAAGTTTTAAAGGTCTTGATCCATATAATTATATAAGACAATGCTAATACTATTTAAGATGTATTTGAGTTGAACGTTATTAACTGTTTTATATTATTCTATTTATATAAAATATAACATTAATTATATATTGTAACGTTTATTTTATAATGTTTTCAACATTAAAAAATTGGGGTTGCCTCTTGTCATATATTTTTCAGTTTCAGAGGCTGCCTTCCAATTGAAGCCATCCTCCTTTTCTCACCCACCGCCTCCCCTCCCATTATTACTGACCGGTCCCTAATGTGTATGTAATGTTGTTGAAGATTTGCTGAACATTTGTATAGTTATTGCTTTAATTCAGTATTCTTCTATTGGATTCAAATTGACTATTTCAAACAGGAAAGTAACATAAAATTTATTGACATATTTTAATGCTTTAAATTTACTTTATTGTTTTTAATTCTTTCTCATTATAACCATGATAGCTACCTTTAATTGGCAAATATAGCAGGTTTCCAGATGAGAAATTTGATCATGAATTATAGACAAGAACTGTCATGCCCGGTCATTTCCCTCAGATTAATTCCCTAATACTATTAACCCTGAACACAATTTGGGTGCATGTGAGCCCTGGTGGACAACTTGAGTAGGATACTGGTTTTTATAGCCAGAAGGGTATCCAGGTTTTGTGGGACGCCCTACAATTAACAAAAAATACACACCTTTTGGGGCGGAATTAGGAAAATATATTCTCAACGATTTTCCCCAAAATTCTCGAATCGGCTTTTAAGTACACTATGTAGATGCTGACAAGTACTGTAAAATGTAATACGTACTGCCTAAGTCTAAGAGCCCAAAATTCTTAGGTTTTCCAGAGAGGGCGCCCAAATTTTGGGCAGAAGAAAAATATATTCTCAACGATTTCCCCCAAAATTCTCAAATCAGCTTTTAAGTACGCTATGTAGATGCTGGCAAGTTAACAGTGTAAAATGTAATACGTAATGCATAAGTTTAAGAGCCCAAAGGTTTTCCAGAGGGGGCATGCCCCCCAGAAGATTTTGAAGATTACAATTAAGCTCGGAGGAAATTTCATGCATTTCCAGCTATTTCCCACAATAATATTATTTTGTTTAACATGTGTATTAATTGCCTGTCAATGATATATATTTCTGTAAAGTGTCGAAGCACGATACGCCCAAAACATTTTCAAAAGTCAAAACTAACATGTTTCACCTTTCCAAATTACTAATAAATTTTGGTTAAGCCATTATAGCAATGTCACATGGAAAAGAAATACATTAATTTCCAGTGCCAGCAAAATGTCTGCCAGCACCAGCAGCGCAGCTGTCAGGAAATGTTTGACAAAATATCTTTGCAGCCATTGCAGGAAATTATCTTATATTATGCAGGAATTTTTTGTCATCTTATACACTAGTTGACTCAATGCCGTATAATTTACTAATTGTTTACAAAAGCGTTTTCCAGGTCGCAATTGTCTTGTGCTGTGACTGAAGTTTATCAGAATGTGTGGTATCATAGATTCTCTGAAATCTACCCATGCAGTAGGAAGTTTTATATTTGACTTTCCCAGGAAATTTTTATTTTTGGATTTTGCTGCCAGAAAGAGGAATAAATTATCTACAGTAGGTCTGTATATTTCAACTTTGCATGCAACTCTAGTATAGCCAGCTGAGCATGCAACTGTATTGTACCAATTTCCCAAACTAAGTAACTGGTCATTAATAATGGGGCAGTGGGCGAGAAGAGGGGGTGGCTGAAACTATTTTTGCCTGAATTGGGGACTGGCCTCAAACTGAAAAATATGTAACAAGGGGTGATCCCAATTTTTTAATGTTGAAAACACATTATAAAACAAAAAAGTTACTATTTAATAATTATGTTATATTTTATATAGTAGATATCAATATGAAACAGTTCGATTCAAGTACATCTTAAATAGTATTATGGAAGAACTTTAAACTTTCTTATTCTTAACTAAAATAATTTTAATGTTAAATATAAAACAATGCAAAAAAGTTCACCATTCAAAGGACACCTTTTGGTGTAATTTTATAGTAACTGATTTATTAAAAATAGAACCTTTCAGTAACAAATTAAATGTTGGAGGGGGGGATCCTAAGTTTTCTAGATGAAGGTGGGGGCGTCTTGACAATAAAGGTCTTTCGATTGGGGCGGCTCTAAAAAGTTTAATATTTGATATTTATCACCCTAAATTTATGGGGCCTGAAGACTCAAGCCCCCCCTTCCCCGCCCCCCAGCTTTCGCCGTTACCACCTGAGGTACATCATGTGGCGATTAGTGATATGGACATTTGTGCAATAAATTATAAAACACACACAAACTTATTTTGGAGCTATTTTAAAAACGCATACAAATTTAAGTTCTGTTTTTATGCAAATTAAAATACATTAACATTCATTCTAGCAAACGATACAACAAACACAGGCTACAAAGCATTTTCTAATGAGCTAGTAATTTATACAGTAGGAGGCTACATCTATAAATTTAAGTCAGTCGTTTGTAAAGTTTCGTCAATAGCTCCATTCCGGGCAGATCCATTACTTGGTTGTACGCCCTGCAGCGGTGTGCCTATCTGCGGCCGCCTGTGCTCTGGCAGGAAATGAACCTTTGTGAGTATTTCCGTCATCGGAATTCTTGGACTGGCTGCTCATGATGCGAGATTTGGCTTCTTTGGTAACTGGATTTTTTGGTTGCCCGTCCATTTTTTGTCACCTAAAAATGTAAAACAAATAAACAATATAGTTCTCTGCTTGTCCTTGACCTTGTCATAGAGTAATACGTACAGAGGTCTCATAAGGGGTCTTTTTCAGTTCGTCATGTTCTTAGTAAGTGCCTTAAAGAAAGGCCGTCACCCCCACTGAAAGGTAAAGTAATCTGTGTCGTTGTGGTAGTGGCTCTATCAGTTCTAAACTCTTCTCCCTAGAACTTAGAAGTCCAATAATTAGAGCCGGTTTTCCACTTCAAGCGTACCGTACCGAAACGTATCAAAAACGTTTTTAAATTTCAAAATTTAGTGAATGTTGATAGGTTAATACTTCCGTATTACGCCAAAAAGTTGACTTGCGACGAACTTCTCATTTTGATACGCGAATACACCCGGAAGTTCGTGGATTTGTAAACCACTTTTCAATCTGCGCATGCTCACCAGTATGTTTCGGTTGAAGTGGGAGACTGGCTTAAAAGTCATCTCTTAATTATTACTGCTATGTACACTGATCTGGAACCGCAATACTTTATTTGAAGTTCAGTCCTCGTGCTTCCCAAGAACGTCAAGGGCAGTAAAGGCTAAACGACTTTGTTAAACCTGGCTTTGGGGCCCAAACAACAAATTGTAATCCACACGGATTCCTGTAGCAAAAACCTCACAACTCACAAGGAACCTAGTTGTATCTGTATTTAATTCCAAATGCTATATCTAGCTTTAAATTAACTTAGTCTTAGGGTGAATATAATAATTATTGGTCTTTCTTACCTCAATTTAAATGTTTGTAGTTTTTCCAAACAGATTAAGATAATTTCCACTTTCGTAAAGCTTTTCTGACTGCGAATACCAAGTCCAACAGTCAATTGTGATGTGGCTTGCGAAAACCAGATATACACTTATTTGATAAATACGTCATACATATTTTTTGGTCCTGGAGCCTCGCTCTCATTAGTAAATTACGCAACGTGATTGGCTAACGATTCATGAGAGCGAGGTTCCCAGGCCAAACGAGGTAATTATCGAAAGGTGTGTATTGGGAAATTCCCTGGGGAAATTCCCACGGGAAAATCCCTTTTAGTTTTTACACTTTCACTTTCAGTGTCCACGTTATTATCACGTGAAATAGAACTTTCTGGCCTCATTTGGAATACTGAATATTGGAATAAAATTTTACAACGGATTGAAAGAATTGCCGTGTTTACTGTTAAAACTATAGAGGGTGTCCCGAAAAAAAGGATATACTTTTTGAAATCAAGCCTTATTACTATGCTGAACGTTAACCAACGGATCGTAAAACAAAATAGAAGTGATATCACTAATTAGGGACCGTTTATTATTTATACCCGGTGTTGGTACCGAAGCGATATGAGTTGGGTAACCAAGTTTTTGACTAGCTTGTGGGTTGGGTAAAAGAATTTATGGCTGTCTGTCAGGTATAAAATAAAACCAAAATTACTATAACTATATGCCTATGCATTGGAAAATATGAAGAAAATACATTACCAAAATTGACATTGATTGAGGAAGGACTCTATCATTGATCAGCAGGAACGTGATTGCTTTGGCACACTCAGTGAGTTTGAGTGTGAGTGATGAGCTTTTAGAATTTAGGCAACTTGCTTTCTGTCGGCAGCATAATCTTATGTGTTTAATTATTATGAATACAGCAACACATGGGTTGAGTAAACATTATTTTGACCAATGTTGAGGTTGGGTAAATAAAAAATTTACAATGTTTTTCGCTTCTCTTCGGCACCAACCCTGGGTATAACTCTTAGTAATTTCACAATTTTTTTTCAGTTATGCCAGGAGTAGAAAATCTTGTACTTAGCAGAATAGAGTTATTTATGAAGGTTTCGTTTTTTCAATACAACCTGTATTTTACGCTTCCGTGAATTCAGCCTAATGCTCAGGCATTCAAGTTATTTAATACAATAGGAAAATTTCAAAAGGTATACTTTTTTTCGCGACACCCTGTATAAAGTCATTGTTGTGGCGATTATTTTTAAATACGTGTATGCTGCTGCACCTGTTGCAGAGGGAAAAACCCCAAGGGGAAATTCCCTTGTATCAAGAATCCAACAGTTTCACGCTATTACCACGTGTGATTCATGTGATTTTCTCACAAGAGTTCTGTGCAGGTGTTGCACACATGTGCACGCCTAGAAATCTCACAGCTTATCAACAAGACGCGTTCGCACTGCTTGTTCCCAGTTGTTGAGTCGCGTCGAAAGATCGATAATTGGGGTGGGGGGTGGGGGGACCATATTCATATATTCGTGTTCTGCATTATTTATTTATTTTGAAATCGATTGTTTTTAAGGTCTGTGAACACGAATATATGAATATGATCCCCCCACTTATCGATCTTTCGACGCCTATGTTGTTGACGAGTCTGAAACAAGTTGATATACTGTAGTCCTGTAACAAGGTTGATAAGGCCAACAGACTCGCAACAAGTTGCATTGTTCTAAAAAGTCTGATATCGTCTGCACGTAACAACTTGATGACAACAAGCTCGTAGCGACTTGTTGAACAGCTTGTATTACTATTAGTCTTGTTAGAACGACTTGTAGCAAGTCTGTTACCTTCATCAACCTTGTGACAAGGTGGTAACGACTTGTTCCGGACTTGTCACAACAATTGCGGGGAACAAGCAGTGCGAACACATCCTGATATCGACTTCACAACAACCTCGTTACAACTAGCTTGTTTGCAGATCTGTGACAACTTGCGAGTTTTTACCGTGAAACCACACATCTCGAATTTAAAGGGGTGACTTTCTCCATAAAGCCCTGATTTTTCAACCCCTTTGGGGGGTGGGGTGGAGTCTGCAATTGCCCCTGCTGGTAGTAACGTGATACCGAGCGATTCCTGGAACTATACGCTAGATTCCTGGTAAAAGGGAATTTTCCCATGGGAGTTTCCCGTTCAACAAGTGTATATATAAATGATTGCAACAACAATGAGTCACTTTCGTGTTGACTTCGATCAACTGCACATAGCCAACACAGTTTTGCAAGAGGGACGCTCTCAATTTGTCGTAACTTGAGGTAAGAAAGACTATAGGCGGTATAGCATTATTTCATTTTTCTAAACAATATTCGCTGATCCGAGTTCGCGTTATCGATTTTTCATCTTCATATCTGGCAAAAATGGAGCCCAGAATTTAAATCTTCATGCTGAAATTTGTTTATACCCGAAGATTTCATGTTGTTTGGACAGGCTGCAGGACGCTAGTTTCTTTTTTTCTATACATATTTGACTGTTTCAGTGAATGCTTCAAATGTATGCAATTAATACAAGACACTAAATATGCAAAACGTAGGAAAATTGATGACCGCAACTGTAACTCGGATCGGAGAATAATATTAAGATAAAAATTAAGTTCTGTATTTAACTATATAGTTATATATGCCATTTAGATGTCGTTAACGTCACTACTATATACTATTATTTCCAATGGCAGTGTCTCGTTGCTGTTGGATTTAGCATGCACCATGGCTTAATATTTGAGGGAATTAAGTCCCCTAGAAATAATTTATTTGTAATAGCTCGTAACGGCATTACTTTCACTATTCTGTTTGTGTTCGTCTCTACCTTCAGTTTAGACAACGTTCATGTTACGCCGTATCGAAATTGTTTGAAAACGTCACCTTCGCCGTAACAATTTGAGCACGGTTTCTGAACGGAACGAGATGAAGACGGACCGCTTGGAGGCCTTGTGTGTGTGTATTAACAAACGCCGTTACTCTCTTGTACCGCTTGGAAACCAAGCATCTCAGTCATTCGAATGCCCTTCGATTGGCTTTGCTCTATTTGAAATATTTTCGGTTTACACGAGTGCTAATGGACCAAATATGCATTATAGACTAAATTTTGATCTAGATAAAACAGCAGCTTGAAAGAGCGTCACATCACAGCTTGAAAGAGCGTCACAAAATTAGTAATATTCCAAAGTTTCGTTGCGAAATGTTGTAAAATGCGGATAATACAGCCCTACGAAGTTTGCCGTTTTTCAGTCATTTTGTATTACGCACGGGTGTTGGGGCATCAATTTCCCGTTTGTAATACAAAATGACTGAAAATTGCAAATTTCGCAGGGCTATATTATCCACATTTTACAACATTTCGCAACGAAACTTTGGAATATTACTAATTTTGTGATGCTTTTTCAAGCTGTGATGAAATTTTTGTCTAGATCAAAATTTAGTCTATAATGCAAATATGCAAATGTCCATTTAATTTGTAAACAAACTACTGTAAGCCAGTAGTGTGAACACAGCTACAGTCTGCCGGCATTGTTTCGCTGCGGTGTAGTATGAACGTATTTCGGAGTAATTTAAAGGGAATCAAGGGATTGCCTTACTGCGCCTATTGGACTTGGGAGATCAATGTAGAATTGATATAGAGCTATCCAGTTTGGGTAAAGTTAGTTTAATTAGTTCTGTTCAGCAAGGGAAGAGAACTATAGGGTTTTAAACTTTCAGGTGACTAGAAGATGGACGGACAACCAAAAAATCCCGTGACTCAAGCAGACAAATCTCGCATCATGGGTGGCCAGTCCAAGAATTACGGAGACGGGAACATCCCATCAGGATCGTTTGGTTCCAGAACACAGTCTGCTGCAGACAAGCACACTGCTGCCGGACGGACGAACAAGTAACGAAACGTCACGGAAATACACGCAATGGAGCTATTTACTGAACTTTATAAACGATTCTCATAATGACTTTAATACCTTATAGACGTAGCCTTGTTTGTTAGAAAATGTTGGCCTTTGTTGTATCGTTATTGGCTTGTAAGATGAGCACAGCGGCTCAAGCGTACAACTGCCTTTTTTCCGAGATTAATTTTACTATTTTTAACCTTTTTAATCAAATTTCGTCCTATTTAAGGTAGCTCGATACAGTTTTTAATCAAAGGCCGTAGAGGTCGACTCACGGATGAGATCAAATGAAAGTGACAGAAAGAATTAGAGCAGTTTGCAGTTGTTTTTGCAAACGGGTACCGTGCGAGTTTGCCATTTGTCGCGCTTTTGCGAAATTAAAAGAACGAACGCGTGTTTCCGGTTCTGAAAGGCCCGATTTGCAGGCAAACAGTGCGCGCAAAGCAGGCTGGTCATTCCCTTTGTTCAACTGCTCCACACTCAAGTAACCACAAAGACTAAAAAATGGAAAATTCACAACTTAGTTCCGTATTTTTGGACAATTATTGCTTGCTGAAAAGCAAAAAGTATCTTACTGATGTCAAACAACACCTAGAGCGATTTTTTTCACAAAAGTTATGGAAATGCCGTTGCTATGGCAACAATGACGTTTCAAGATGCTAGAAAATTTGGTTTTTAAAGTAATTTAACTCGAAAACGACATCGGTGACCCCCAATTTTTATTCCATAAATTGATTTCTTTTAGTATCAGTCAATTTTTTTGTCAATTTAAAAAAAAGTTGAGGCAAAAATAATTTATTATGAATAATCACATTTACGTAATTTGAAAATTTTGTGCTCGACAGAATCTTTTTTTGAAATTTTCAAAATAATTGAGTACACTAAAAAAATCACTTGATGAATTAAAATTTGAGGGTCACCGATGCATCTCGTTAACAAGTTTAATAATATACATGAAAAAGTGTCTCAATTCTGATTGGCTAAGAGCTGTGCAAGTTTTTCCAAACAATGCAGTACAAATTTTACTTGACTATAAGATACAGCCATTTCTATAGCAGAAAATAATACAAAAAATTCAAACATTTACAAGTGACAAAATGACTGGCATTTTTAGTAGATTTTCTATTAAAGGTATTTATATTAAAATTAACTATTTCGCATGTGACCTACGCACGCATGTGACTGCATAATTTTTTCATGTAAATCATTAGGGACGGATCATTATTTATGGTGGGGGGTGGCACCGAAGAGAAATGTTTTTCCTGGTAAAAATTTTGCTGACCCAACCATTAAAAAGCAAAAAATTTGATTACCCAACATCAAATATCAATTAAAAAATAAATACCCACCCCAGGCCAAAACCTTTACAAAAGAATACCATTCAGTTGTCACACATGTCCTTTACCACTTCTGTGACACAAGTTTGATAACTAAACTTTGTTGTTGTATGTACATGTACTTTCTTTGGAGACACCATTTGTTTCCCAACAAATCGGAAAATGATCAAGATAGTGACTCTGATTGATTCACATATTGTATTGACATACGACTGTTGACATTGCTTTTCAGTCTCCAATATTTAAGTGAGTCAATGCTTTGGAAATGACAATAACTTTTTATTACCCAACCCTTGAGTTGTTTTGTTTTTCATTTACCCAACCTTGTAGTTACTCAAAATTTAGTTTACCCAACCCTTTTCTCTTCGGTGCCACCCCCCGCCATAAATAATGACCGGTCCCTTATAAGAGGCAATTTTTTTCAATGTCACGTATTTGCAATGAAAAGTGTTCAAAACCTAAAATCTTTTTGGCGTTCCTCTCAAAATTACTTTGTTTTAGCTTTATTCTTTAGTTTATAGAGTAAATGTACCTGCCGGTTGAGAAACATAAACTAATAGTTAAAAATTGTCAATTAAAATACAATTATCAATGATGCTTTAAAATTGACGCCATATTTACAGCCATATAAGCAAAACTTACTGAACTTCAGACATAATTTTCTCTTTGGCGTGTCATCTAAAATCTCTCCATTTTAGCATTATTTTACAGATAAAGCACTAAACATACTTTTTAAGTTTGTTTGCCAATTGAGAAACGTATAGAAAAATAGAAATTTTGAATTTAGTCATAACCTCAAGTGGTATATTATAGGTATTAGTTTTGAGCGCTTGTTACGTGACATACAGAAAAATCTCCTCTTAATAAGTAATAGTATGGTTTCTCGTGCAATTTGGAAAGACATACACTCGTGAGTTTTTCAAACACTTCAATTTGCACTCGTCCTTTGGACTTGTGCAATTTTGATCCTCTTTGAAAAACTCACTCGTGCATGTTTATCTCAAATTGCACTCGAACCTACACAAATTACTTTAAAGCCATAATATCCGCCATTTTAAAACGTCATTGTCGCCATAGCAACGGCAGTTGCATAATTTTTTGTGAAAAATTTCAAACCCTTTAGATGTTGTTTTACATCAGTAAGATTCTTTTTGTGTTTCAACAAATAATAATTCTCCAAAAATACGGATCTAAATCGTGAATGTTCCATTTTTAGAAAAACTTTATCGGGCATTAGCATTTGTAGTATTGATAGTTATCGATCTCAAAACTAGTATCTAGTAATGAAAGAGAGTTGTACGTTTGGGCAGCCAGTACATGGGATGAGTATTCATGCCTGTATTACAACTCAATTTATAGTTTGTTATAATTACTATCTGTATGTCTTTTTAAAATAGCTCCAAACTAAATTCGTCTTTAAATGGTATCTATATGTTTCAGTAGTAAAATAAATAAAATTTGTGGACAAGTCTACGATGAAGAGCATTCAAGCAAAATGATTAAGAATTTCTATGCGTCTAAAAATATTGACACAATGCGAGAATCGCAAGAATCGCAGAGATATAATAAATGCTTAATATTAGGATTTGCAATTGTCAAGATTGGTTCCGTGCGCACATTGCACACTCTATAAACCAGACCTGTAAAGTAGTTTAAAATGCAGGAATAACACTGCCTGATAAGGAATAACAAACACTGCTTCGATTTTGAAAATTAGTAAGCTGCCTGATGCTGTTCTTGGACGACTCTTTTATTACTTTCACTGGTAAAATACAACACTGATATACAATTCGTATGTACTGGAAAAAATAGTGAAACTATTTCCATAGTAAGGATTTACAGTCAAACCGGATGTTCTCTTGCGAGCAACATTGCAATATTTTCCTCTTTCTTATGGTCCAATCAGAGGCTTTGTTTACAAATCTTTTGTGAATTTCAACTTGCAATTTGTTCCCGTCGGTTGCAAATTGCTCAGAGGAATCTGCCTGTCAAAATTGCAATATTGTGGGACAATATTGCAATGTTGCTCGCAAGAGAACATCCAGTTCGACTGTAATAAAAATTTCCAGTGATCCTTGCATAATATGACTTAGCTCTTCCACAGTCCCTCATCCGTTATCCGTACGCGCGGTCGCGATTAATTCCCATTAAGCCCCGCGCTTCCATTGTTCTCCCACTGATCTCTATTCGATACTGAAGCGACGAGGGGCGTAATAGGACGGCGGAACAAGCGACACAACGGGCACACGACGTTGTTTCAACGTTGAAATTTGGTAGAAAAAAGGTTGGGACGTCGACAACCTAATATCAACGTTGCTTTGATGTCGTTTTACAAACGTTGGTTCAACAGCAGCTAACAGACATTGAGAATCAACGTTTATTCGTGCTTGATCATCTCTCGTTCTCCCATATTTTGACTACTGTTCATCTCTATGGGATAATTGTGGAAGCATGCTCAAAGAGAAATGACAAAAACTACAAAATAGGGTGGCAAGAATTATGACAGGTGCCAATTATGATGTCAGGTCGACAGATTTGCTCCATGCTATGTCATGGAAAAATCTGAACGACAGACATAAAATGAATAAATCGGTCCTGATGTTTAAAATATTAAATAACCACTCAGCTCCGAACTTAAAGGATAAATTTATAACAAGGGACATAAATCTTAGTACTAATTATAATCTTTCAGTTCCTAAACCACGTACTGAATATTTAAAAAAGAGTTTTGGATATAGCGGGCTGTTCTATGGAATAGTTTACCTACGTGGCTACACAGGCAAAGCAAACAGAATCTTTCAGTAGCTTCAAAAAATTGATAAAATAATGTGTGCAACAGAGTCAGGCATCGAATACTCTTGGTTTTTTAGCTTTTTTTTATCTACGTATTTGTTATTCTGTGTTATTTTATTTCATATTGAATTTATATTAGTTTTTAGAATGTAATTTGTGTGACGCCCCTCATGAAAATCATCCATGGGTGATGAGGGAAGCGTGGTTAAATAAAGTTCTACTATACTATACAACGGTCAACTTAATTGTCAAGTAATCTCAACGTTGTTTCAGCGCGGATTGAACGTTGAATTATGGTTAACGAGATTGGGATTCCAATCGGCGCTTGAAAAAGCTTGATATGACGTTCAAATATACAAGCGTAAAAGTGATATCGATAATACCGAGAAATATCGATATTCTGATATATCGAAAATTTCAATATCGAATAATCGGTATTTATATAAACCCGATAATTATCGATATATCGATATACCGTAAAAAATTTAAGGTATAAAAGTTTTGGTATAAAAAGGTATAAAATTTTTGCGGCACGAATTTTTTTTCAGTCTCATGTCTCTGCAGGAATTTTTTTTAATGCATTTAACCTCTGCACGAATTTTTTTTCAAGACTATTTGTACTTTGCTGTTTGCTTGCGCGAATTTTTTTTTCTGACATAATGGCTGCACGAATTTTTTTCCAGGCATTTTTCTTTGCACGAATTTTTTTGGGGGAATTTTCACCCCCCCTCCCGGGATTTCTAATGGTCCACCCCTTATGCAGAGCAATTCATAGTCTAATAAATAATTTATTAAATGCAAAATAAATCATTTACTTGCTCATTTGACTGGCAAAACAACTTAACTCAAACAAAATGTTTTTGTTTGTATTAATGTATTTTTTTCGTGACACTGTATTTCGTTTTTGGCAATGTAAATATTTGATAAAATTATATTGCATTCTTCGTAGCCAGCCGTAGATTCCCCGTAGAATCGAGTAATTTTTTTCATGTATGTCATTAGCGCATTACTAGCGACAGAAGAGGACATTGCCTTTTATCATTAATCATGTGTCTTTATTTTGTGATAATTGCTAGGATTTTCTGAATTAAAGATCAAAAACGAAACTTCGCTTGAACCTGTTCGAGATGGTTGTTGTTATTATAATGTTACGATCAGATGGGAGGTCGAATCTTTCAACAGAACTCATGCACCATCATTCAAGATATGGCTAACTATTAATGGTGAAATAATCAGAAATATAGTAAGTTATTATAAGTTTTGTACTAGCATAGTTTCTTTTTGATTAACTTTTTGCATCTTTCAATGATGATTTAAAATTAAACTTTCGCATGCATATTCTAATGTTTCCAGTCTCATCCACATGCTATACACACACAAGAGCGCACACGTTGTTACAGGTCTGCAAACAAGTTGTTACAAATCTGTTCACACGTTGTCAACAAGTTGTGTTCGCACTGCTTGTTCCCAGTTGTTGTAACAAGTTTGGAACAAGCTGTTCGCAACTTGTAACAAACTTGATGGAATTATCAGACTTGTTACAAGGTTGTTCTAACAGGTCTGATACAGTCATGATATAACAAGAATGTTACAAGTTTGACGACACAAGCGTGTAACAATATTGTTATATCATGACTGTATCGGACTTGTTGGAACAACCTTGCAACATGCAAGTTTGATAATATCAACAAGGTTGTTTCAAGTTGTTAACAGCTTTGTTCCAAACTTGTCGACAACTTGTGCACAAGCAGTGCATGCGATCACAACTTGTTGACGGCTTGTTGGCAGACTTGCTACAAGATGTGAGATATTTGCATGCGTAATTCAACTGCAATTGATCGGGATGCAGAACGTGTCGCTTGGATGCGCAGTCCTGCGCATGCGCAGTCTTGACTCTGAATTGGCTTATTGGCAAGTTTGAAATACGTAAATGCGTAAAAATCTCAGACTGTCAACAAGATGTGTTCACATTGCTTGTTTGCAGTTCCTGACATGTCTGGAACAAGTTGTTTGTCATCTTGAAACAAAGCTAACGAGGCCAACAGACTCGCAACAAGTTGTTCCAACAAGTCTGATTTCGTCTGCATGTTGTGAGTTGTTAACAAGTTGCTGACAACAAGCTCGTGGCAACTTGTTACGAACAGCCTGTATAGTCTTGTTGGAACAACTTGTAGCAAGTCTGTTCCGTAATAAACCTTGTAACAAGGTGATTACAACTTGTCCCAGACTTGTCAACAATTGGGAACAAGCAGTGCGAACACATCCTGATATCGGCTTGGCAACAACCTTGTTATGTAACAAGTTGTATAACTTGCTACAATCTGTAATTATACACGTAAAAACGCACAAGTTGTTACAGGCATGCAAACAACTTGTTACAAGTCTGTTCACAAGCTGTCGACAAGTTGTGTTCGCACTGCTTGTTCCAAGTTGTTGCAACAAGTTTGGAACAAGCTGTTTACAACTTGTAACAAGCTTGATTGCATTATTAGACTCGTTACAAGTTTGTTCTAAGAATTCTGATACAGTCATGATATAACAAGAATGTTACAAGGTTGACGACGCAATGGTTGTAGCAGTATTGTTATATCATGAAAATAACTTATTTACTTATTTAACAACTTTAATTTGGCACGGAGATAACTTGACAATATTGTGCATAATTTACATAGATAATCACATTGAACAAGAATATGGAGAATAGTAACTGTAGAAGGTTTCAAACGTGGCGAAACACAAACGAGATTAGATTCCATGCATGGTGCATATACAGATGAGATAGCATAGAAGAGCAAGAAAAATATAGAATAGAAAAATGGAAGGTAAATGGAGAACTAGAAGTACAGACGAGAGAAGTGGCAGAATGAACGCTATAACATAAGGTCTAACATTGGTACGTTTTTGCGAGACCAATCAGCCAAGTTCAAGCATAGTCTAGTAAGATATGATTGTCTGGGAACCCGGCAAACTTCAAAGCTATAAAATAGTTGACCTTTGTTTGATGTTGAACCATAGAATAAAGATCCATATAGAAGGGCCACTTACGTCGGAAGCTTTGAAGTTTCTGTCCTCGCGCATGTCGCATTACGCATGTTTGCCGCCATTTTCCTAGCCAGTCAATGACATTTTCTGGCCAATAAACACGCTGTACTGGCTGGCTGCTCCGCCTTCTGGCCAGTAAACTGCATATTTTTGCATAAAAAAACGCGGACACGTTGCACCGCTGAGTGGCCCTTTTGTTACTGATCTTTATTCTGTGGTTGAACTGTACATCACCTTATATAAATCCTTTGTTTTAACTTCATTAAATATTATTCATCGTGGTTGCACGTTTCATCTCAGCTATCCCTATTGGACGGTGCGCAAATTGGCACAAACTCTGACAAAAACATAATACAATGAATTGTGTTTAGTTTTCAGACCATCATATCTTGATACTTAGACTATGGTTCAAGCGCACTCTTGGGGACAGATCTTTTATAGCGGCTGTGCCAAAGACGTGGAACGATCTAGCAGATTATATTAGGAATGAGGACAATTTTAATAAGTTTAAGAGCCTTCTCAAAGGCCCTGTCACACTATTGCGTATCGGACTAGCGTATGCCAGCGTATGAAAAATACCACTCGTACGCCGGTATACGCTGACATGCGCTAGAGGTACGTTAGACATAGGTTGTATACGTTTCAAGCACGGTCGCATACGCTGGCATACGGCGAGGCAGAAAATTTTTTCTAAGCATGCTCAAAAATTTTGTGCGTATTAGGACGTATCGTCACTTAGACTTGGCTAAAAGTCATAGATTCTGTTAGTATTGCGGCGTTGTCTCCACCTGGCTACTATTTTAATAGTTTTCCCCGGCAATCTGATATAGAAGGGGCGGCGGAACTGGTGTAATCTGTAGCAGCCGTATTAAAATCAAGTTTATTAATGGGGATGAAAAACATTCATTCGAATATTCAGAATGAAACTGTAAGGTGTCCAATAAAGCTATTAAAATTATTGCGGTTTACCGTCCACCATATTCCCAGAGTCATGCTGTCACGTTCGAATATGTTTTTGAAGAATTCTCCTCATTTCTTGAGAGCATCGTTATGTGCCCTGAAATACTTTTAATAACTGGAGACTTTAATTTTCATCTCGATGATATAGCAGATGAAGATAGTAGAAAATTTATTGAAGTTCCGGAAACATTTGGCCTCATACAACATGTTAAGTTTCCAAACTCATATATCCAATCACATATTGGATCTTATTATCACGAGATCATCTAGTGATGTCATAATTGGCGAAATACAGGCTTCTTTTTTCCTATCCGACCACTGCTTTGTTGAGTGTAGTTTGTCTGTGCCCCGTCCCAATCCTAGACAGAAGAAACTTCAATTTCGTAAAATGAGACAAATCAACATAGGTGCGTTCAAATCTGACATTATTACATCTAATCTATGTAACGAAACGATGAAACCCTGTCTAATAATTTTTAGTATAAATTTCCAGGTGACTATTGACTTTTCTGCATTCTGATTGGTCAAGATTCACTGTCTCTGAAGTGATAGTCACTGGTCAGTGACTATAGCTTTTTTTTCAAAATGGCTGCTCGTTTTGCCGTAGTAACAGAGGAGGAAATTGCCAAAATTAAAGAAGATAGCATTCCGAAAAAACCCAAACAAGCTACAAAATATGGTTTAAAAATATTTCAAGGTAAAATATTAAACTTTACGTGCTTTTATTTGGAAAAAAACTGGCTTAGTCGCAACACGACACAGAGCCGTGTCTGAGATTTAATTTTTGTAAAGTTGTGTGGATTTATTGTTTGTAAACACCTGGAAATTTATACTAAAACAATTAGTCGCCTCAGGCTCGGTGATTACAAGCCTATAATCACTTCGCCTTCGGCTCAGTGAATATAGGCTTGTAATCACCTCGCCTTCGGCGACTAATTGTTAAAGAGAAACATGCTCCTGTACAAAGAAAGGTAATAATGGAGAGAACCAAGATACCGTGGTTCAATAATGAGCTTAAACATCTGAAAGTAAACCGCAGAAAATTAGAGAGAAAAATGTTAAAATCAAACTGTGAATGCGACAAGAAACAGTATCGTGCTTCGTGCAATAAATATTCTGCTAAATTGAAAAGTGCCAAACGACTATATTATTCTGAACTTATTGACCAGTGCTCGGGTGATTCAAGAAAACTTTACAAAGTGGTATCTACTCTCTTTGAAGTTCGTAAGGAAAATGCCTTGCCTCCACACACTGACTTAGGTCAACTTGCGAATGACTTTGGAGAGTTTTTCCACCGAAAGTTCGAACTAGTCAGAACCGAAATTGATGACATTCCAGTACAACCTCCATCAGTTGAATATCAGCCACCTGAAGCTGAACTTACATCATTTCGCCAGCTAAAAGAAGAAGAGATTCGCGATTCATTTCAAAGGATTTTTGTGCGTATGAAAATTATTTCATTAATTTTCATACGCTTCTCAGACGTTTCTCTCATACGCAATAGTGTGACAGGGCCTTAAGACTCGTTATTTTAAAGAAGCCAAAAAGGATTTGACCTAATTCATTGAGTTTTTAAATAATTTTACATGGTTCCAAGATTATAATTATTTGAACTTTCAGTTTATATCTTAATTAGCTAAGTAGTTTTATTTTATCTATATTTCATTGTCTTTACTGAATTGGAATGTAATGCGCATTTGATCATATTTAAATGTTAAAATGCGCAATATAAATCTTAAATTATTACTATTATTATTATTATGAATATTTATTTATTTACTACAGTAGCTGTAATAATGTGTTTGTTTAGACACACGCCATGTCGAGTCTCTGGCCCTTATCTTCCGTTGTCAGAACGCGTTTATTCTCTACTTATAAATGTCACAGTAGCTTTGTCATAAATGACTGGTGATCCCTACAGGGCTTATTACCCCATTCACAGGGTCTCTTAAACTAAACATTTACATCAATTACAACACATTATATGTACAAGGCTCGACAAAGGACGACACGAGTGACGTTTAACACAGACAGTTTTAAATGATTGTTTTTAAATGATTGTAGTACATTAATGTCATAAATAAGTTAATTCAGTCATTTCGTGATAATATTTCAACAAGTATGATTTGTGACCTTGGAGATATTAGTCAGTCGTGAAGGTAAGACAGCCTGTCAGGTGTGTAGGCAATAGCAGTCAGGTGGAAGTATCGCCCGTATTCTAAAAGCTCACTCACACTCACACTCAATGAGTGGAGGTTCAATCTGAGCTTCCCTTGAGTGTCAATGCTGTTTTTGAATAGCTGGAGGGTAGTCACATAGTGAGGTAAGACACTAACCCTTCAGCTATTCAAAAATAGCATTGACACTCATGCCATAGAAGCTCAAATTCAAGCTCCACTCATTGAGTGTGAGTGAGCTTTTAGAATACGGGCGTAAGTCTTGTGTAGGTATGGCAATAATTATAATAACAACAATTATAACAACATTTTATGTTTATTTTTCATCTTAGAGTATATTGGAGTCCACAGCATCAAATGAAACCTGGTTTGAATACACGTTTATACGTTTGCTCCCTGTCAAGTACTATATCGCTCATATCGAGGGCTACATTTCGACGCAAAATGTGACGTCATACGCAAGCGTCAGTTTTGATATTAAACGTGCAATCTTTTATAAAGGTAAGTTAATTTCGATATCTGTAACAATGGATTATTATAAAAACACTGGATACAGCTGATTCAATTAAGGTTGTCCTTCCAAAACCTTAGTGCTAATCTAACTGTAAATAATATTGATCTTCAACAATGTATAGTCTCGAATACTATTGATATTGACCCTAGGAATTCGAGCTTTAACGTTGTTGGAACACGCACACCTCAGGAACAAAATCAAATCCCTTTACATGTTAGACAACAAGCCACTGAGGTGAATACTAGTAATATCGACCTTAGTAACCTGAGTCAACAACTCAATGACCCGAATACTAATGACATTGACCTAGGGAATATTAATGAGTCGCCTTCAAAGCAAATACTAGTACCGAGTAAACAGAAAAAAGATACTGGTACATTAGTGAATAAAACCTCGAAGCCCCTAAAATCACAACTTGAAAAAGAAGATAATAATACTGGAAAAAGTACTATGCCCTGCCCATTTCTTAAGCGCCGAGGGTGGTGTGCAAAGGGAAGGCGTTGCGATTTTAAACATCCACGTGGTGAACAAAAACATTTGGTGCCCTGTCCCTTTTTGCAAAATCGAGGCTATTGCTTAAAGGGTAGCGGGTGTGATTTTTCCCACAGTACCAATCATAACAGAACGGCATCACGGCCTGTTAATAACCATCCCAACCCACCTTTTTTTTCTCTTACCATCCTTACCATCGTCCTCCTATGGTCCCACATTTAAGAACACACGGAATGAGTGTCAACCGAAGTCCCCAAAGTTACTCCCAGTTTGCTCGGTTTTTTCAACATTGCCCGAAAACCTTAATGGAAATCCCTGTCCAACCTCCGTTTCCCTTCGCCTTCCGCGAAAGTTATTAACTTTCTTTCTAGCGAACTCTCGATCACTTTTACCTAAGATTGATGAACTGAAAACTATTTTGCATATAAATGAGGTTGGGTTGGCCTTCATAACTGAGACATGGCTAAACGAAAATATTGATGACGGTGCCGTTGAAATTAGTGGCTTTTCCTTAGTTCGGCGTGATAGAATTTCTAGAATCGGGGGTGGCGTTTGTGCTTATATTAAAGACCAGATTCCTTTTAAAATCTTAACAGATTTGCATGAAGACAATTTTGAATCACTTTGGCTTTACCTGAGACCAAATAAACTTTTCCGTGGCTTTTCCTGCCTGATTATCTGTGTGGTCTATCACCCTCCCTCCAATGATAACTGTGCCTTAATCGATCACCTAACATCTAAACTTGACGCTGCTCTTATATTGTACCCCAACGCTGGTATTTTTCTCATTGGAGACTTTAATAAATGCCCAATTTCCTCCCTACTACGTCATTTTACTTTGAAACAGATAGTTAAAGAACCCACAAGAGGAAATTCCACATTGGACTTAATTTTGACAAATATGACTTCCTGTTGTAACTCTCCGGTGTTATTACCCCCTGTCGGCCAAAGTGACCATAATTCCGTACTGTGGTCCTTTAATAAAAATACAGCTAAATATGGTACATCAAAAGTGAAAACTAGACAAGGTAACAATCATGACAGGAGAGCATTCGGTAAGTGGCTAGCTGATATAAACTGGAACAACTTGTACCGCGCTGAATCATGTGAACAAAAGTTAGATTTTTTTCAAACAGTTATAAATACTGGTTTGGACTGTTTTTTCCCTAGTAAAATTGTAAAGTTGCACGATCATGATAAACCATGGGTTACAGTCGGATTTAAGAAAATTATAGAAAATAGACAAAGAGCGTTTCGTCAGGGCAAAAGTCCGCTATATCGTAGATTGAGAAATCTTGCCAATAGAGAAAGTAAGAGACTCAAGTCAACCTTCCTTAAGAAAAAGATGGATGAGTTAAAACTAAACCCCAATGCTAAAAAATGGTGGCAATGTATAAAACAGCTTGCGGGTTTCGCCAAGAACAAAACATTCTCTAATTTCGTTGTAAACAACCAGGTTTTTGCTGGTAAAGAGTTAGCAGATAAAATCAATGATGTTTTTGTCTCATCTACCCAAGATATTCCTCCCTTGAATAAGTCTCCAGTTGATGACCTAATTGAAAATGGCAGTACAAGTATCCTTCCACAGTTTATTATCGAAGAAAAAGATGTATACTGTAAATTGTCCGCCATCCCCGTTTCCAAATCACCTGGTCCTGACGGAATACCTAATTGGGTGCTTAAATCTTATGCATACGTTCTTTCTTCCCCTGTGGCATCGATTTTCAACGCTTCGATTCAAGAAGCAGTTGTACCCTCAATGTGGAAAAAAGCGAACGTTATCCCTGTTCCAAAAAAATCAGTCCCTAAAGACATTTCTAAAGATTTGCGCCCTATCTCACTTACCCCCACTTTATCCAAAATTTGCGAACGGTTTGTTACAGACTGGTTACTTAAGTCAATTGGTGCAAAGATTGATACGCGGCAGTTTGGCTCCGTTAAAAATTCCTCGGCTACCCATGCCCTACTGAGCCTGATCCATCACCTCCTGAGTGCTACAGATGCTTCAAGCAATGCGGTGAGAGTATTCTTGCTTGATTTTGAAAAAGCTTTTGATCGAATAGATCACAACATACTGGTGAATAAGCTACAACAAATGAGTGTTTCCCAAACCATTATAAATTGGATTAGAAGTTTTCTCTCTGATCGTAAACAACGAGTCAAGTTGGCTAACTGTCATTCGGACTGGCAAACGTTAAACGGTGGAGTGCCGCAAGGGTCGGTGTTAGGGCCGGCTTTGTTCCTTGTTATGATAAATGATCTTCTTATTGATTGGAGCGATAGATGGAAGTATGTTGATGACAGTACGTTTGCTGAACGAGTTACATCAACTGAGAGTAGTGAACTACAAGATCTAGTGAATGTTATCTATAATTGGTGTGAAGTTAATAATATGAAGCTCAACATCGGCAAATGTAAGGAAATGGTAATTGACTTTGCAAGAGAAAAACATGAGTTTTTACCGTTAACTATAAATAACGTTGGTATTGAGCGGGTAAAATCTGCCCGAATTCTTGGTCTCTCAATCCAAGATGATTTGAAATGGAACGAGCATGTGAACCATATTGTTAAAAAAGCGGGAAAACGCCTTTATATGCTAAGGTTGTTAAAACGATCAAATGCCGACAATAGCATTCTAATTTTGGTATACTGCACCATTATCAGACCAGTACTCGAATATGCCTGCCAAGTTTGGCACTTCAATATTACAGAATACCTAAGTGAAGATATCGAAAAACTCCAGAAGCGGGCTCTGCGTATTGTCTTGCCATTCGCTACTTATAGAGAAGCTTGCAGTATTACTGGTATACCCTTACTGAAAGATCGGCGGCGATTATTATGCGAACGTTTTTTGTTAAAAATGCACATGGAGACAAATTGGGTGACCTCTTACCGCCTAAACTTGAACATAACTATAATACACGTTATGGAAGCGATTATAATAACTATAGTTGTAAAACGGACAGATTTATGAAATCGTTTTTTCCACAGATGGTTTCACATATGAATAGACCATAATTTTAATATTTTTAATATTTTTAAATTTGAACTCTATAACTTTTTCAACTGAAGTTATGAATAATTTTATGCATCTAGATATTCTATTGTAGTATAATGAGACTTTTTACTGATGTAATTTAACCTAATAGGTTACAAATCGGTATTTTATTAAATTATTAAATTATTAAAATTATCATTATCAAATCTCTAGCCTTCTCATCACCATAGATAATGGACTTGTGATGTTTGTTTATGATTTTTCGTATGTCTGGTCCACGCGGATTATACTTAGTAACTAAACAACAATATCCTTCATTGGACTTTTTCGTACTTTTGCGTGCACGCATATATATATATATATATATATATATATATATATATATATATATATATATATATATATATATATATATATATATATGAAATCCATCAACCAATCAGACGTTCCCACAGACTTCAACAACGTCAACAACAGCGCGAAAATTCAAATGATCAATCTTTCTGATGAAGGCTCGAAGTACCGAGTCGAAAGCTCAAAACAAATAATTACAATCCGGAGAACACTGTATAATTTTGTAAAAATTATAATTTAATAAAATGCCTGGATTACAAATCTTCAAATCTATTATATATATATATATATATATATATATATATATATATATATATATATATATATATATATATATATATATATATATATATATATATATATATATATATATATATATATATATATATATATATATATATATATATATATGTATATATATATATATATGTATATATATATATATATATATATGTATATATACATATATATACATATATATATATGTATATATATATATATATATATATATATATATATATATATATATATATATATATATATATATATATAACCTTTTGTAGGGTTAAAATGGTACACCGTGGAATATTTTAAAATTATCGCGCTAAATATTGCCTGAAGTAGGTTGGAATACTAAGCAACACACGTTCTTTCAAGTCCATTTCATTGGTTTGTATTACACCTATAACTGGGGATATTATCACAGTCTTAGTGCATTGGCCGTGGTGGTACACCGTTATGTATGACACTGAGAAAAATTACGCATTGATTTACCACACCTGGAAAACGTGTGTCAAAATACATAATTCACATTTATATAGTTGTCACTTAATATTTTAAATATATGCAGTAAATACCAGAAACGTAACTATATGTTGAATTTATTGTCCCTTAGTTCTACTGGATATCACAGACATTTATGTATAGACTGAATGTATAACCTATCAATATATAAGTCGCACAAACCCTTATGGAAATATATTTTTTGGGTCGTACATTGTATTTCATGCACTGATCGCTTGCCATGTCTGTCTAGGCACCTTCTCACGGTCTATTGTGTCTTGCAGGTCTTATATAAATATACATATAACAAATATGACTCCTATATATTTCTTAATTTCTGAATTATTGCAATGATATCTACTAGAACGCGATAGTTTTACTTTATCAATTATTTCCGAAACATTTCGTTGCTTTTAATTGCCAAAAAATAATATATCGTATGCGATTTTCTCGGCAAAAGTTTCTACCACACATTTTTACCCTTTCAAAACACTTAGATATTCATGACGTATTTAATTAATGAAATAAGGTACTTGATGTAATTATGAACATAAGTAGGCCATACGAAATGCACATAAACGAAATACATGGCAAGGACATGTATAAAAAGCGAAATATAAAAGAATATTATTTCGACTCATTTCAGACAATCCTGGACAAAACCATCTGCGACACTATATTAAAACATTGCTTTGTGACTTTTTTACCAGTTAGACCGGAATAAATTACTCGTTTGCCCCCCTCCACCCCCCAAAACAATGTTGGACGTTTTATCCGTATTCTACGAATGCAATCAACATTGAATGGTGGGGGAAAGGGGGAGGTTTTCTAAATATACGATAATATTACGACATTTTGTCAAGTAATTGGAAGTGTCGCAGATGTTTTGTTCAGGATTGTAGCAAGGAGCTAGGACAGTGCTTTTTTCAAGTGTATATATTAAACATTTCAGACGTAAATATTGAGTCGAAAATCTTTGAGATTCTAGGCATTCAATTGAGTGCCGATATTA